TAAGTAAATTGCCTAACCATGTTCAGAGCACATTAGTTGGAGCTTGGAAATGTATCTGTAGGAATAAGATTTCTGCAATTGCAAAAGGCATAGCAGTGCAAAGCCTTTTCCAGAAAGCAAGCAAGAAAGCAAGTAAGAAAGAAAGAAAGAAAGAAAGAAAGAAAGAAAGAAAGAAAGAAAGAAAGAAAGAAAGGAAGAAAGGAAGAAAGAAAGAAAAAAAAATAAGATAAAATGGAACACACTGGACAAAATATGTTATCATTCTGGAAGCTTCCCAAAAAGCATATAGAAAATTTAAAAATTACCATTTTTCACAGATAATGATCATTGGATAAATGACAATTAGAATCTGAGATGGTTTTGCCTCAGTGAGCTCCCACTCCCCATCTCCAGCTTGATTATTTTAGTGTTTCTATCAGGGTGGGGTAATAAAAAAATGCTTATTATCTAAGTACATGAAAATAAAATGCTTATCATCCTTAGTTATTGTGTTGGTGGTGTTATGTGCCCACATGCTGACTACCCCTTACAGTGACCCTGTGAACAATAGCTCGGAACCTTTTCCTATGCTGAGCCAACCTCACTGTTTCTGCCAAACCTACCCCTATTGCCCCAGTCATTGTGTCAATCCATATGATCCAGGGTCTTCTTGCCCTATACTGACCCTTTACTTTTCCAAGCATTATGTCCTTCCCAAAGGATTGATTCCCTCCTGCAACGTGTCCAAATGATGTGAGACAGAGTCTCAAAATCCTTGCAGTTGAGTAGCAACCTGGTTTTACCCTCTCCAGGACAGACCTATTTGTTCTCTTGGCATTCCACAGTAAATTCAGTAGTCTTCTCCAGCACCACATTCTTCATAGTTGTCTAGCTCTCTGATGCATAGCTATTAATTAAGAAGACAGTGGCCTGGATCCAGGCACACCCTAGTTTCTGAACTGACACCATTTCTCTTTAGCACTCGGGAGCAGCCCCTGACAGCAAACTTTCCTACAGCAACTTGTCTTGTGATTTGCTGACTGCTTGCTGGTGCCAAGAGTGTTTATTGTAGATCTGAGTAAGATAAAATTGTTGACAACCTCAAATCTCTTCTCCACCTATTATAGTGCTGTCATTTGGCAAAGTGGAGAGAATTTTTGTTTTCTTGATGTTGAGCTTCAATCCATATTGCAGACGACAGTCCTTGACCTTCTACATCAAACACCTCAGCTCTTCCTCAGTTTCAGCAAGCAAGTTTGTATCATCTGCATAAAGCAGGTAGTTAATGTGTCTTCTTCCAATTTTGATGCCACATTCCTTCTCATAAACTCCAAACTCCTAAATTGTCTGTTCCACATAGATTGAAAAGGTATGGAGAAAAGCTACATCCCTGATGCATACTTTTCTTGATTTTGCACTGTTCTTTTACTCTCCTAAGACATCAGCTTACTGGTTTAGGTATAGGTTTTGCATAAGTACAACCGTGTTCTAGGATTTCCAGTCTTCTCAATGTTAGCCACAATTTATTGAGATCTACACAGTCAAATGCCTTTGCATAGTTAATAAAACACAAATAGGCATCCTTCCAGTACTCTCTGCTGTCAGCGAGGGTCTGTCTGATATCAGCAATGATACTCTAAAACATTAGTTATTAGGAGAATTCTAATTAAAACCCCAATGAGTTATCAGCTCATAAAAGAAAATTCAAATGTTTGTGAGAATATTTAAAAATAAACCCCCCCAAATAAAATCTAGAACATTATTAAAATATTGATGTGCAGCCAATTTTAAAAACAGCTTAGCAATTTCTTAAAAAGTTAAAGAAGAAATAAAAGTCCTTAAATTCATTGTGAGGTCTTTAACTTTCACAGTGTATGAGATGGGAAATCATTGAGAGATTAAGCAGATTATAGTATAATCTAAGTCCAGTAATAAAATTTCAATGGTACTGGGAAAAGAGTTAATAGAAAAACCTAAAAAACACGACTCAACAGTTCTAATCCTAGGTATCTATCTAAAAGAAATGAAAACATTTGTCAACATTATATACCATAGTGGAATTGAAAATAAGACAAATGCTTGCTAGTTGCTGAATTTATAAATAAAATATCCTTACAATAAAATACTGGTTTTGTTGCTGTTTCATTGAGTCCAAATCAACTCATAGCTGAACCTCCAGTAGGTTTTTAGATGCTGTGAATCATAGAGCAAGAGTTTGTCCATATTTCCCTCTCAGAGTAGCTAATGGATTCAAAGCACTAGCTTTTGGGTTGATAACATAGCTCCTTGCCTACTAGGCTACCAGAGCTTCCTCAATAGACTGCTAGTCATAACATAAAAAATAATAATTAACAGCTGGTACATATTATGATAAGAATGAATCTCGAAGGCATTGTTAAGTAAAAGAAGATAGATGCAAAGAAGTGGATGCAACATTACTACATTCTTATGAATGCCATAAAAGGCAAATGCATAGAGAGAGAAATCTCATTAGTGGCTTTCTGGCCTAGAAGAAGAATAGAAATTAACCATCAGCTGCAGGGGATTTGTTGAGTTGGCAGAAATGCTTTGAAACTGTATTGTGGAAATCGCTATACAACTCTATAAATTTACTAAAATATATTGACTTATATGTTGTTGCTGTGTGTCATCGGGTTGGAACAGACCCATAGCTGACCCTCCAACAGGCTTTCAGAGGCAATCACATGAGAGATTGCTCATCCTTATATACCTACAATAAAGTTATTTAATTACATGCAAATAACACCTCAGGGAAGCTGCTTTAAAAAACAAACAAACAACAAACCCAACACATAGTAGAGACTAAAGAGGTATAGATGAAATAAATTTGCTAATAAATTGATACATGTTGAAGCAGATAGATCATACTGAGTACTTATACTCTTTTTTAATTTTCTGTTAGATGTATTTTAATTTCTTCAAAATAAAACATTTTTTCCTCTCTATCAGCCCCCTCATTATGCTAAAAAATTGAGTTATGATTGTTTTGCTTACATTTTGAGTAGGTGAAGTTTTTTTCCCCCATCCCTGATAATGAAAGTTCATTGTATAGGCAACATAAACTTGTATTTATTATTTGTTAGTGTTTTGTTGTGATCAGTTTTGTTTTATCATTGGCCTTTTGACCCATGTAGCATAGTAGTTGTTCAGAATAATGGAGATAGAACATTTTCCTATATTCAGCAGGAAGGGTCAGCTCCCATTGGAAGAAGGAAAATTCCTTTAAATCTTCATAAACCTACAGAGGAATTTTCCTCTTCATTCTTATGCCAGTCTGCTTTCTATCTTATCTAACTAAGGATGAGAAAAAATATATTAAAGTTCTTGACTTCTTGAGTTTCTTCTCTTTTTAATCATTGGAGATGTCATTTAGATTATGTTGTTGTTGTTATGTACCATCGAGTCGTTTGCAACTCATAGCGACCCTATGTACAAGAGCTCTAAATGCTGTTCTATGCTGTGCCAACCTAGCCATCTCAAACGCACTTATTCCCACCGCTCCAGTCACAGAATCGATCCATCTCACCAAAGGTCTTCCTCTCCTTTGCTTCCCCTCCACTCTGCCAAACATGATGTCCCTTTCCAAGGACCAGTCCCTCCTTGCAACATGTCCAAAATATGTCAGACGAAGCTTCAGAATCCTTTACTCCAGGGAGCATTCTGGCTTCTCCCTCTCCAGTACTAATTTATAAACATGTGGTACACTAAATAATCTACTTTGTGGGCCAAAGCTTACCTTGCCTAATCTATTAGGTACACTATTTAGTCTGTACCCTGTATTAAATGTTTAAAGAATTTATTCATTGATGTGGAAGGTAGACTAAATAATGCAGTAATGAAGTTCATGCAAGATCAACTTTTAATTATCAGACATAATCCAGGATAATATATAGTTTTTAACTGGTTTAATTAAGTGCTTTTCTTATATATCACTAATGACTGCTATGATTTCTTGCGAATCTTCTTCCAGAATACCTTCGCTGTGGAAGAAATGAACAGTACATATATTTGTACTCCTTTGTACCTTAGTCAGTGTTAACTTTTCTAGACTATCTAGATTGCTTATTCTTATCCTTCACCTATGGGACTTTTAATCATTTTTCCTGCCTCCCTTTGATTTAACAGGATCTTTAGTAGATGGTGTATCCATTGAATTTAAGATAAAATCTGGATTCTTATGATGACTCCTTGGCCCTTGCTCATCTTCAGCCTACTTTGTACCCTGAGCAAAGCACTTTAGCCACACAGGTCTATTTTTTAATTCATTTGAATTTCCAAGTATTTTTTCTGCCTTGAAAGAGTGTGATTCCTTTGCATGTAAGCTTTTCTCTCATGCTTCATCTAGCTGGTATTTACATATTTCTCAGACACTTACTCAGCGCCGCTTACTCAATGTCACTTACTCAGAGGAACTCACTCACAATCACCAGCCACTCTGCAGTCTAAATAAGGTCTCATTTCCTTTGTCTTTGGAACTGGTTACATTTGGAACATCTGTTTATAAGTGAATTTTCTGTTCTTTGGCCATATACCTGCAGACAAGAAGATAGTCAATTAATTCCAAGTGTTGAGGGGCTTGCTTTAATATGATTATGATGATCATGATGATCATGATAATAATTATAATCCATACTTTTCTTTGCTTTCTGAGCACTTTGAATAATTTCTCTCTGCATTTACAATCATCGCATATAATGTGGTTAAAATAGCACAAAATGCTTCAAAAATGTACACAGAGGAAATATATCATAAACTAATGCAAATAGGGATAATTAAAACCAAAATTACTAGTTCTGGAGATGTATACCATTCCTGTGTGTAAAGAGGGATTTTGTGTACGTCCCTACGTCTCTACGTGAGTTCTCTGTGAAGGTTCTTTCCGGTCGTGACTTGGAAGCTCCTGTGTTTCCCACGCAACAGTAGGCGCGATGCATTGTGGGAGAGCAGAGCTGTCTGGAAGCGCAGAGCGACTGTTCTATGGCCGGCGAGAGATGGCGGCGAGGAGGCTGATGAAGGAGCTGGAAGAAATCCACAAAAGCGGCATCCAAAACTTCTGTGACATCGAAGTCGATGAAGAGAATTTCCTGCGCTGGGAGGGTCTCATCGTTCCTAACAGCCCTCCCTATGATAAGGGGGCCTTCCGCGTGGAAATCCGCTTTCCCGCCGAGTACCCGTTCAAACCACCCAAGATCCTCTTCAAGACGAAGATCTACCACCCGAACATCGACGAGACTGGCCAGGTGTGCCTGCCGGTGATCAGCTCGGAGAACTGGAAGCCGGCCACCAAGGCCGAGCAGGTGATCCTGTCGCTCGTGGCGCTCATCAGCGAGCCCGAGCCCGAGCACCCGCTGCGGGCCGACCTCGCCCAGGAGTACAAGACGGACCGCGAGCAGTTCTACAGGAACGCAGAGGACTTCACCAGGATGTTCGCAGAGCGGAGACCCGCCCCCGAAGCACGCACACCTGCGCCCGGAGGCCACTGTGAGACACCCCCACGTGCCCCGAAACTGGCCATCAGGAACACCCCCCAAGTGTCTCTCAGACACCCCCCTCCCCCCACAATCCCCCCAAGTGTCTCTCAACA